CCACACCTTCTACAATGAGCTGCGTGTTGCCCCAGAAGAGCACCCTGTCCTGCTCACTGAGGCCCCTCTGAACCCCAAGGCCAACCGGGAGAAGATGACCCAGATCATGTTCGAGACCTTCAACACCCCAGCCATGTACGTGGCCATCCAGGCTGTGCTGTCCCTCTACGCCTCTGGCCGCACCACTGGCATCGTCATGGACTCCGGGGATGGCGTCACCCACACCGTGCCCATCTACGAGGGTTATGCTTTGCCCCATGCCATCCTGCGTCTCGACTTGGCCGGCCGTGACCTCACCGACTACCTCATGAAGATCCTGACAGAGCGGGGCTACAGCTTCACCACCACGGCTGAGAGGGAGATCGTGCGGGACATCAAGGAGAAGCTCTGCTACGTCGCTCTGGACTTCGAGCAGGAGATGGCCACGGCTGCCTCCTCTTCCTCCCTGGAGAAGAGCTACGAGCTGCCCGATGGTCAGGTGATCACCATCGGGAATGAGCGCTTCCGCTGCCCTGAGTCCATATTCCAGCCCTCCTTCCTGGGCATGGAGTCCTGCGGCATCCACGAGACCACCTTCAACTCCATCATGAAGTGCGACGTGGACATCAGGAAGGACCTGTACGCCAACACCGTGCTGTCGGGGGGCACCACCATGTACCCCGGCATCGCGGATAGGATGCAGAAGGAGATCACGGCCCTGGCGCCCAGCACCATGAAGATCAAGATCATCGCCCCGCCCGAGCGTAAATACTCGGTGTGGATCGGCGGCTCCATCCTGGCATCGCTCTCCACCTTCCAGCAGATGTGGATCAGCAAGCAGGAGTACGATGAGTCTGGCCCCTCCATTGTCCATCGCAAGTGCTTCTAGAGGGACTGCTGGCAGTCACCCGAGGGCTGGGATGTGTGTGGGGGGTGACCTCCTTCCCTGCTGGACCACGATTGTTCCACTGTTACTCATTTGATGTTCTGACTGGTTTGTTGAGGTACTGGGTAGTGACACGTGCATTTGAACGGCCTGGGGGGGGCAGGCAGGGGCTTGTTCACTTTTTCTTAGGTAGCACTGGTAGGAAGGCACTGAAGTTAAGCCTCATCACCTTTAGGTTTGTCACAGCTTGACTCCTTTGTAGGAAAACAAATAAAGTTCTTAGGCTTAAAACTGAGGAGAGCTTGCTTGTGTTGTTCTTTCGGGGTGGGCTGGCCAGCTCCTTGCTGCGAGGCCTTATTGCGCAGCCTGTGTGTCGTTCGCAGACTCGGGCCGGGCCTGGCTTACAACACAGGGGACAAAATAAGGGGTAGACGTTCCACAAACAACATGATGTCACCTTTTAAAGCTGCCCGGAGCGCGTGAGGCCGTTTTCAGGGCTGCTGGGGAGGAGGAGAGCTTGGTTGGCGAGAGGCTCTCACGGCCGCCTTGGACTTTCATGGTAATTTGGCCTTTTTTAGAAGGCGAAGGGCTCTACT